GCTACTTGCCATTAAAGTGGACCTTTACCCCCTTTGACTAAAAATCACATGAGCATACAGCTCTGCACGCTGATATGAAATTATCTTACATTCATTAGCTAAACAAACATATTTTTCTTTTATTTACAATTTCTTTTTTCCACTTACCGGTCCTCTTTGGCACAAATTATGTAATTGCGCCTAAGCATCGCATCCAGGGAAGGTTACATCAGCAGAGCATTGCTGGGAAATCTCATCTGTAATCTCATGAGATCTCAGGGAAAGGCATTTTCCTCCCCTGAGATGATGTGCATGGTCACAAATGGCCACTGTCAGAAGAATGGGGGAAGAAAAGAAAACATGTATGCAAAGATTAAAAAGCCGGCAATTATCTAGAAGTATCTATAGGTTGTCATCACTAAACAGTTCTAAAGGTGCCTTTGTTTTTATTTTGAAGACATGGGTAAAGGTCTGCTTTAATAATATTATTTCCTACGATTAGATACAACTTCTGCCTAACTATAATGCCTCCTGTAGGTGAATTGTTGTTTTCTTCTTTTGACTCTTGCATCTTATAAACCTTACTGAATCTTTCAGTAAGAAAAGATGGCAACAGACAAATCATATTCATCCTTAACATGATAAACATGACCTGGGTAGAATCTGGATTTGTTCAGACTGGTTTATTCCTGTGTAATCATCAGCCACTGTAGTATAAATTGCTGTTGGATGGCTCCGACCGCAGATACAATTCTTTTATTAAGAAACAAAATGTACTTTCTATCACGAGAAATACAAAGCATGTTTGTTGTAGCTGTAGTTTTGTTGTCCTCTGCATAACATACACTGAATAATATCAAGAGACAAGAGAGTACTATATTTTTTATCTTTTCCTTTTTTGCTATCTTGGTTCCTGCTTCTGCTCTCCGGGTTTCCCTTCACTCTTGGGTATGTGTGAGCATCTGTGGGGCACCCCCTTCCCCCACTGCAAGGGTTAAGCGCTAGTTTTTGTCTATATATACTCACCCAAACTGCAGAGGCAGCTGCCTGCTTCTCCGATCACTAAACTCTCTCTCTCTCCTCCTACGCTGCAGCATTGGAAGGTTCATCAGCATCCTCACATCTACGCATGAGGGGGGGGTGGGGGGGGGAATTTATCAGATCTGGAGCAGACAGAATCTGGATCAGTTGCCTGTAGTAACCAATCAGCTTCCCTTTTAAGTTTGTTCAGTTAAGCTTTGAAAATGAAAGAGAGAAGCTGATTGGTTACTATGAGCAACTGCTCCAGATTCTGTCTGCTCCAGTTTTGATAAATTACCCCGTTTATAGAATGTGATGATTTATGGGACTTTAGACTGCTGCAGCGGAGGGGGAGAGAGGCTCCAGGGACCGGTCTTAGAGCAAGCTGGCTCTGAGGTTCGGGTGAGTATAACCTTTTTTTTTTAAACCTAGACAAAAATGAGCAGTTAACCCTTGTAGGGTTGGGATAGCCCAGCTGCAAGGATCAAAACAGAGTTTAATATTACAATAGTTGTCAATAGAGGGCAAGGATGCCAAAACAATGTGTTGAATCTGCTCTTGGTGGCTCTCTTGATCTTGTCATTACAATGTTTACTTAAAGCTGAACTTCACGCAGAACATACTAAACACCTGTGTGTGAACTTTCATACCTGAAAAATTCTGCTCAGAAAAGATCCTGGCAAACCTGCCAGAGAGCATAGCCGGGTCCTTCATCCCAAATACAGGTAATCAGTACAGCTTAAACAATGGCCCACCCTAGCCTGATGGTTCAACAACAAAGCAGCAACAGTGCACAGTGTTCTGTAATCATGTTTACAGACTGACAGGGCATAGTACATGCATATTGCATGCAAAGTACCTGAATGCTGTTTGGCTTAGTAACTAAATGCTGTTTGGTGCTGTTGGCAATCCTTATCCCAGTGTAAGCTGTGCTGTACAGGGATTACAGAAATCTAACATAAAGACCGAATGCACTTACATTACCTTCAGTGTATTCAAATTTGTTAAATGATTTTCTTAATAATTACATGACTGTATTAGATGGTATATCCCTATATTGGCTTAGACTTCAGCTTTAAAGGGCCACTAAAGCTACAAAAAAATATTGTCATGCATTAGATGCTACAAACATGGGTGTTGTTAGCGCTAGGCATCCTAGGCACATTCTCAAAGTCTCGAAGCTGCAACCATCCAACCTTGTTTTACATTTAAGTTCTGGTGCTGCAGTGGCATTCACACTTTAGAGCTGAGTCTTTTCCTCGGCTCTGATGTGTTTCTCTCACTCTGAACTGCTGTGGTATCTGAGGTCTGGAGGGAGGGGGGGTTGGCGGTGCAGGGGGGCGTATTGTGGAACCTGGCCTTGGGGCGGCAGGGAGAGTAAATCCGGCCCTGCTGACCCCTGCACCCTGTATGTTATGTATGCCTGACCCCTGCACTCTATGCATTAGCAAGTCTGACCCCTGTACTCTGTGCGGTGCATGCTCCTGACCTCTTGATCTTGTCACTTTCTGTAGTACACACTTCTGACCCCTGCACTCTGTGTATTATATACTCCTGACCCCTTCACTCAGTCTCATATGCAGTCCTTCCCCCTGTACTCTGTGTGTTACACACACCTGCCCCTGCACTCTGTGTTACACACTGATGACCCCTGCACTTTGTGTGATATGCACTCCTGACCCCTGCTCTTTGTGTGTTACGCACTCTTGTATGTGCAGGAAATATTTGATAACAGTGCCCTTAGGTAAGTAAGTTTATACTCAGAACAAAGTAGCCCCAATGAATATTACATAATGATTGCATATTAATAAGTGAGTAAAAAGAAGATCATTTCATATCTATTACCTTTTTAATGGCCCTATGAATACTGGCAGGCACTACATTGATGGTGAAAGGAACATACCAGAATGCGGAAACACTTGGTCCAAATGACAGCACAACATGACCATTTGTATTATCAAGCATTACACATAGTTCTAGTTGCTGTGTAAATGGCTCATAGAGTTGATGTAATCAGCCTAGATCCCCTTGTTGAGTTGGATGGCTCATTAAGTCAGGTTTTATTCAACCTTTGGAAAAACATAGCTCATATAGGGAAAAAGTACAGAGCTAATCACTAACGTTCAGTTATTGTTGAAGCAATCCAGCCACTTAACACAAATGGCCAAAATGTGTTCTTGTATAGCTAGTGCGGTTTACTAAATACAATAATAATTAAGGATGATGTAATAAATAGGAAGTATGTCCTAATTTTATTTGACTTTTTTTCTTTAGGATGGTACCGATTATTTAACCTTTATAGAAATTAACAGGGTTATTCACAAAAGGTGAAGAGTTTGGAGAAGGCAGGAGAAGTGAACAATCTAGGACATCATAGCTGAACTGGAAAGTGAGCTGAATTGGAGAATTTTTTCAAATCATATGTTTTGGCCTAGATTGTTCACTTCTCCTGCCTTCTCCAAACTCCTCACCCTTTTGTGAATAAACCTGTAAGTGTTTATGCAGACTCTACAAGTCAAGTAATATTGTTTAAAAAAGCATTAGAAGTACTCTTTAATTGTAATTCACAGAATTCTATTACCTGGTCCTAATTTTAAATCTGTATAGCCACAATCAGCCTCCCCCTAATTACAGCTTTTACAGTTAACCAATTTGTGATATAACTTGCTGTCTAGAGTCACTATTGGCAAATAAATTAAACAAACCTAATGTCAGCATAATGTTTTATTAGTTGTAGGAAGCCTCATTAATCTACTAGCATGATTTGCGTAATAGTAGAGCACAGAGGTCATCGTGACCTGACGACTGCTGGGTGCTGATTCCATTGGCCATGGTATACAGAATTCATTCAGCACCAAAGAGAATAAAATTGAAGAAGCATTGCATATCATGTGTCTAGGAGGAGAACATATTGTTCTGCCCTTGCATATTGTGTTTGTCTCTCATATAATTGTTCAGCTATTACCTGTAAGGTTTTTTTTTTGTTTTTTTTGCAGGCATGTTCATAAAATATCGCCAGTGTTATAACATGTTTTTGTGCATTGTGTTGCTTAAAAATGCTGCATTTTAATGCAAAACACATCAACACACTTGTATAGTGTGAACAAATCGCACAAGGGACAGTTGTTTTCTCAGGGTCCTTGCATTAAGCCTATGTTGATCTAGCTGATCAATGCAACTCAACGCACCTGGTGTCAATGTGTCCTTAGTTTTATGGCCACAAATGTTAATACATAATTGTTTGCAATAAAAAAAAAGAGATATTTTGTTAATTGTTAAAAAAATTGTCTCTCATAAGCTTTATTATAATAATACTGCTGTTGAGGGAGTTTTCTATAATACAGATAATACTTCAATAGCGGTTTCTATGTGTTTTTAGTTTTAATTCACGTATGAGGGAGGAATAACATATGACCATGTTTATAAGGATCATAAGTTTCCTCCCAGGAATATTTGCATGCATCCTTGAAAAGCCTTCCCCGTGCTTCTCTCCAACCTTTTCTTCTGATATCACACAGGGTTATTCACAAAAGGGTGAAGAGTTTGGAGAAGGCAGGAGAAGTGACCAATCAAGGACAACATAGCTGAACTGGAAAGTGAGCTGAATTGGAGAATCTTTCCAAATCAGTTCTGTTGTCCTAGATTGTTCACTTCTCCTGTCTTCTCCAAACTCTTCACCCTTTTGTGAATAACCCAGACAGTGATATTTCACTGATGCTTATCAGGGTATATCACAGTGATAAATTAGCCATGCAAACAGGCTTAAAATTTTCTCCAGCGGTGATAAATTATCACTGTGATGTATGGAGAAAAGACAAACTGTGATAAAGCAGGCTTAATTATGGTTTATTAAATGGACACTTAGTTGCAGCTGTTATTTTCTTCATTTGTTTTATGTTTAGTCAAAGACAAAAAAGCTAAATCAAAAAAAAATTAACAACCTTGATTAAATGTTTATTTAAACAAAAATGCCAATCTTATCCGTTGTGTTTATTGACCAGGAGAGAAGACAAGCTTCGGATCCAAAATGGTTGGCTTTGTCATTTGGCTCCAGAAATAATACGGCAGTTGTCTCCTGACACAGAGGAGGATAAGCTTCCATTTTCAAAGAACTCAGATGTATTTGCACTTGGGTAAGTAGAGTTCTAAGCAACTTTGCAAATCTAATTTCTTACCCCTTCCTATTCTTTCCCTGTGCATTCAGAGCTGTGATCACAGGCCGTTATCATAGCTTTGTTTACTTTAATTTTGTAAGCTGGGAGTAACATGTCTGCTAAGCCTGACTGAGGACAGAAAAGGCATCAAGGATCCCTGTGTCTAGATGACTGGAAGCACATGTGATAGAGGACTGGGGAGGGCTTAGCTAAATTTATGCTGAGGCTGCTTACTTTATTTTGTGATGATTTTTAGAAATGATTGGTATTATCATGTGAAATAAATAATAATTTGCTTTACACATGATTGCATAATGGGGCATTAAATTACATTTTTCACTAAATGTTGGGGTTTAATAAGGAGTTGCGCTAATATTGCGCAACATAAAAATTTGCAACTACCACCATTTTATTCTATAGGGTCTTGGCATTCAGAAAATATATAATGTTGCGGGGTTTTAAGTCATTTTCAGGCCTAAAATGTGGAATATAACATGGGTGCAAAAAATGAAAAAAGGGCCTCAGTCATGAAGGGGTTAAGTAAATCTACAGTGTGGAACAGATGCCTTCTTATTTGTCTGTAGTCCTGGCACTATACAGTAGAGACTGCAGACAGGTTAAAAGTAAACAAATCAATGTTTACAGTTGACTGGAGTTGTGATAATAGCTTTCAAAGCACAAAGAAAACAAAAACAGACACACAATGAATGCCACACCTTGTTGTTTGTAACATGTTTGGAATAACAATGTAATTTCCTTTATTTGTTTTACTTTGGTGATATGTGTACTGTATGTATAATTTGGTGAGCTCTAAGGCATATTTTTCCCCAAGTATACAAAAGCAAACTTCATTTTACTTACAGCTCTGAACACACAGAAGATATTTACATATATATTATTGTATATAAATAAAAATAATAGTGTGGCATAAGCTTTATCCATCATGTCTAATATCTGTCCCCGACTAGTTGCTCTGGGCATAATCTATAGTATTTTTATGAGCCTGTATGGAATCAAGACGGAATACAAATACTGATGGTGGCATGAGCCTAAGGTAGGATAACACTGATATTTCTTTTACCCACAGAACTATTTGGTACGAGTTACATGCCAGAGAATGGCCATTTAAAAGCCAGCCAGCAGAAGCGATTATATGGCAAGTAGGAGCAGGCTTGAAGCCAAATCTTAGCCAAATCGGAATGGGAAAGGAAATATCGGTGAGACAATGTTCTTGTATTTTTATGTGTAATCAGAACAGTAATGGTCCAGTCAAGTAAAAAATGATATTTCAGTTTAGACTATAATTTGGAAGTATGTCACCATAATCAAGTTATGAAACACAACAGCAGTAAGGAGTGAATGGTAGATAGTGGTAGCTCTTTCTATACCACTGAGTCTTCGATATAAGAAGCCAGAAATATCATATGATATGACATATATTATGGTGGACTGACTCTTTACAGTGAATGCATAGTGCTTTGTATACATTTTATAATTATATTTTAATTTAGGTAAATATTAAATACAGGTATTCCTCACTTAACGACCGAGTTCCGTTCCTACGACCAGGTCGTTAAACGGATTGGTCGTTAAGTGAGGAACTCTATACAGTACTATACTGCATTAGTACAGTACTGTATAGCGTTGCCGATGTACAGTACCGAACAGTGTACTGTACATCCGGCAATGGAAATACTTACCGAGACCTGCAGTGAAGATCGGGGGATGTCACTCCCGCCGGCGACCCGTCGCACTGACGCTGACGCGGAAGGTCGGAGGTCGATCGGCGGTCCGTCGTAAGTGCGAGTGGTCGCAAAACAGGTAAGTCGGTAAGTGAGGAACATCTGTATTGCATATTTCAGAATTGCATCTCCATCCAGCAAGTGGAGCTTTAGGTTTTTTTTAATCACATTTCATCAAGCTGCTCTTAGCCTCTTTGTTAAAAACAGTTAATTAACATATGCCAATAGTTTCAGCTCAAACTTACACATATACCTAAATAGGTTGTAAGAATGAATCATGCTCCCCTAACCCCATCCTTGACTAATCTGTTCAGATGGAAGTTGAGAAGTTTTAAACAGAAAGAAACTGTCTGAAATTAACACAAAACTCATAATGCTTTAGGACACCATTGTCATGGGAGTACCATGTATTAGATTTATGTTTATAAAGTAAAAATGGAAGCAGTAATCCTAATATGCTTGAACATTTAAAAAATACCTTCAATGGTAATAGCACCAATGGCAGTTTCGTATCAGCAGCACAGTTTCCTTAGAAACATCTTTTTTAGATTCTTGTATTCTCCTATCAGGGGAGAAAAAGCATATTAATGCATCCTCACCCACAATTGTTGGGGATTTCCCAAGCATGATGCCCATTGCTGAGGAAATGTTAAGAAACATCTTCTTATTGAGAGCCACCAGCTGATAATATGCGTGGCTGTTGGTTCTTAAACCTGGCTGTCACTGACAGCTGTGGTCTCCACTGATGACCGCAAACCAGTTAGCTGACACTTGATCACAGGCAGGCTGAAAGGTTTTGGTGATGCCAAAACCTGACATGCTGGCTGAAAAGTTTTGGTGACAATATAAGCCTACAGCCTGCAGATTCCACTGCACCCTTAAGGTAAGGTACAGTGTTCACCTGTTTAAAACCATAATTGTCAGATACAATTACAGTATTTAAAAAGAGAAATAAATAATTTAAAACACATACCTGGTCCTGTTTACAGATACAAAGGTAGTAAAAGATGCTCCAGACCATTTACACAATTGTTTTAATACCTGGACAGCTAAAAGTATTACAATACAGTATTTTAGGAGATATATAGATAACTCTTTTCAGGTATTATACAGAAACTTTGCTGAATTATTACTACCCAGTGGTACATTTTGCAACTTATCAATAACCATCAAATCTTCTGAAAGAAACATCTAAAAAATGTGTTTTGATGTAAAAATTTGTGATAATACATATATGTAATGAGGGTCAATCATATCTGCTCATTACATATGCAGCAGTGGCGTAACAATCGCCATAGCGACCCAGGCGGCCGCTATGGGGTCCGGGCACAGGGGGCCTGGGTCGCTATGGCATGTAAGGTGCTGGCTGTCACTGACACAGCTCAGCAGCGGCTGCGGCGCATTTCCCCTCAAAGCCACTGCGGAGCTATGTCAGTGACAGCCAGCTGCTGCGGCAGATGAGAGCGGTGTTCGGAAAGAAGGAGGAAGCGGGGCCCGCCTAAGAGCAACCCCGCCTCCTCTTACATCACTGGCCAGCGACCTAAGAGTAGGTGGGACCAGTGATGTAAGAGGAGGCTGGGCCCGTCGATAGCAGAGGCGGCGGGGCCCAGGGACGGAACAGGAGTCGCGGCCCGGCGACCACAGAGGCGGACAGCGCTGACAGGTAAGAGATCTCAGACCCTGCAGAGCCCAATATAGAGAGTCTATGGTGGGCTCTGCAGGGTCACTCTCCGGTGGGCTCTGCAAGTAGCATAACTAGCAATCACGGGGCCCCATACAAAATTTTGCTATGGGGCTCTGTGCTTTCTAGTTACGCCCCTGATATGCAGGTTCTATTTTTGACTTTGCGGTGCTACATAATGGTTGCAGTGCAAGTCGTTGAAAAAATGTACTCTCTGCCTGTCTGATAGCTTCTTCTAGCAATTATTAAGAGCAAAGCAAGTAATTGCACAAAGTCAATGAAATCTCCCTCTGGTGGCTAATCTAAAATATCTATATTTAATATAAGCATAAAAATACGAAAGTGATATCATGATGTCCTT